ATTAAGTGAAAAAAACAATAAAGAAAATATTTGTAAATCATGTCTAATAAGGCAGTGGTCCCCAACCTTTTTGGCATCAGGGACTGGTTTCGTGGAAGACAATTGTTCCACGATGGGAAGAGGGGAATCAGGCACTAGATTCTCAAAAGGGGTGTGCAATTTAGATCCCTTGCATACACAGTTTACAATAAGTTTCACGCTCCTATGAGAATCTAACGCTGTCACTAATCTGACAGAAGACGGAGCTCCACTTGCCCGCTGCTCTCCTCCTGCTCTGCAGTCTGGTTCCTGCCCGGCCACAGACTGGTATGAGTTTGTGGCCTAGAGTTTGGGGACCACCTTAATAAAGGGTTAAGATCCAGAATATGTAAAGAACTCCTACAAAACAAAATGTCAAATCACCCAGTTCAAAAATGAGTAAAAGAGTTGAATAGACATCTATTCAAAGAAGATATATAATAGCCAGTAAGCACATGAAAAGATGCTCAATGTCATCAGTCATTAGGGGAATGCAAATCAAAACCACAATGATATGCCATTTTACTCCTACTAACATGGCTATAACTTTTAAAAATGAAAAATAAGTGTTGATGTAGATGTGGTGGAACTGGAACTATCACATACTGCTTGTGGAAATTGGTGCAGCTGCTGTGGAAAATTTATAGGGACAGAAAGTAGATTAGAGGTTGCCAGGGGCTGAAGGGAGAGGAGAACAGAAACATATTTCTTAATGGGTAGAGTTTCTATTTGTAGTGATAGAAAATTTTGGAAACAGATAGTCGTTTGGAAACAGATAGTGGTTATGGATATATATATATACACACATATATACTTATATATATATAAGTTTTAAAGAAAATAAACTTTGGAGAAATCTACACTAAAGAAAACTGCCTAGATTTATTCAATAATGTTTTCCAGACTTGTTTGAGCTTAGAGGTTTCATATATGGACTATAATTAACTTTTCTTTTTAAAAAAAAGATGTAGGGTACAATTTAGGATTAGGTATACAAATGGTCATCATACAGGAGAAGTTTAGGCCTCCCTTTGGTCGCTGCTTCATCTGGTTTGAGGTCAGGTAAGTACCCTTATTGATGTTATGTGCCCCCACTCCTCTAGCAGTGTCCTGCTACTACCAATCGCTTTCTCGTAGTATTATAGTAAATGTTCCGGGTTCGCTTATGAGTGAGAACACGTGGTACTCTGTTCTTTGTTTCTGTGATAGATCACTGAGTATGATAGACTCTAAATCCATCCAAGTTGCTGTGAAGTCCATGTTTATTCTTCTTTATCTGCCATAAAGAAGATAATATCATATCATGTATATGTACCATATTTTTTTATCCAGTCCAGTTTGATGGGCTGCACGGTTGGTTCCTTATTTTTGCTATTGTGAATAGTGCTGCAATAAACAAGAGTGTGCAGGCATCTTTTTTGTAGAATGATTTGAGTTCCTCCAGGTATATTTCCAGTAGGGGGATTGCTGGGTCATATTGAAGGTCAATTTTAGAGTTAATTTTTCAAGGGACACACCTAAAAGTCTGAAACAAAGTAAAAATGATCTTAATCTTGAAAGGGAGAAAAAAATGGTCTGAAGCAACAAATCCCCCTTGTTTAAGTGCAGACTCTGCTTCAGCAGGTCACAGATGGAACTTGAGATCTGGCATTTCCAACAAGCTTCCAGTTGGTGCTGATGGTGCTGGTCCTCAAAACACAATTTGAGTAGCAGGGGATATAACATCACTATTATATGATGAATAGTACTATTCTTCATGATCCTGTTCCCTACTACAGCTGATTGAATCAACTGATCTGGAAGCAAAGATGTTAATGGACAGTAATCAATAACTTATTATCTCTCCCAAGTAGTATAATTATAATTTTACATGTGTTTCTAAGACAAATGCTTACTCCAAAGAAGCTACTGTGAGAAAGTGGTATAGTAACAAAGAAGACCAATATGGGATGAGGATTGTGCTAGGGCTTGGGGAGGGGACCCATTCTTCCAAATACATTTAAAGTATTCTGGATTTTTTTTGCTTCCATTTGTATTTGGATTGCATATTTCAGTATGGTCAGATCACTCTTTCTCGTAAGAATAAGAGAAAAAATAAAGGAAAAATGAGAGCAAGGGCAAAAGGGAAGAAGGGAGAAATGGAAAAGAGGGAAGAAGGGAGAGAGGAGACAAGGAAGGAAAGAAGAAAGGCAATCATAGTGATATGAGAGATTATATGTCTACATAATTCTTTTCCCCTGTCAGATTATCCTCCAACTCACTTTGCAATATCATCACTTTGTTGATACATCAATTAGATGAGGTTAACTGGTATAAACTGTTTCTTTTTATAGTTTATATATCACATTTATACACTGGTGATCATATCTAAGAATATGTCCTTGTCAGTTAGAGCACCTGAGCAGATTATGGGGCTAAAACACAGATGAAAGGTTGTGCTGGCACATATCAATATAACACTTAGAAGTGAGAAAAACAGTTCTCTATCATTTACTCCAAAGAACTTGCAGGTTGAGCCCCATATTTAGGTAGCTTCTGTCAGTAGGTGATTATATTGGCCTCAGGCATTTTATCCCTATAGTTAAAAAACGTATCCTTAAAGTCAGGCAATTTCTGTCTCTTATAAATTCTGTAATCTTGACCACCCTTTTGCCTCAACTTTTCTTATCTAAGAAACGGGGATCATGATAGCATCTAATTATTGAAGAAGAAATAAGGCACTCACGGGTACACATTAAGGTTTTAATCCATGTCAGTTCTTAGTATATGTGTGTGCTAATTCCTTATTTAAAATTACTTTTTTTTCTTTCTAAGGTTTTATATAGAAATGCAAATGAGTCTTGAAACAAAATGCCCAAGATTGAAGAGGTCAGATGTAAAGGATCGAGAAAGGGAGAGAAGATATTGTGTAATGAAGGCAGTACAGCAAAGTGGTTGAAAGTTTAGGTTTTGGGAATAAGAATGATGAGGCACTGAGTCCCAGCTTTTCTAATTACTATGATGTGACTTTAAGTAACTTACTTAACCTCTCTAGCACAGGGTATCAATATATGGCAGCTTAAAAAATACTTTTAGTTCTAGCAAGATACTCATACTGCCATTTACCAGGAAATCCTTCCTGGTAAACAAATATATGATGGTATGACCCAACTTTCTAATGCTTCCATGATCGTTGGGTACCAGATAATATACAAGAAAGACAATATTTATATTTTAAAATTCCTACTGTTAAAATGACATTTCTCTTTTTTTCTGTTTCTTTCCTTCCATCATTTATTTTCTATCTTGCATATAAGAATTCATGAAAGTTTTCCACCATTGAATGATCTAAACGGAAATATTTCTTTGTGGAGCAAGAAAACAAGCAAACGCATACAATTTGTCATTACTTGACTCTACCTTGTTTAATTTATTGCTTATTAGCAGAAACATATATTTGTTATAGAGTAGAATTGTATGGTCAAGAAAGAAAAAGACTCATTTTTGTTTTGTTCTGCGTAAACAAAAAAATATAAAAACAAAATCCAGCAAAGTAAGAACTGCCCATGGAGAAGAACTCATTTTGCCAGATGCTAACAAGAGCAGGGCAGGGACAAGCGAAAAGACTTGGAGTATTTAAAAGATAGCATCTGAAAATTATTTTGTTAATATGATGGTGCCTGTGATACCTGCTTGCAAACTTTTAAAAAAAATAAACACAGTTATTTTTCATTAAAAACAAAAAAAGTGAGCTATGTTTCAAAGCATAACAACACATTGTTTACCGAAACTTCTTGCTCCTTTTACCAAAAGATATTGACTGGGGACTTAAATTAGCAACTTTATCACAATTTTTCTTTCTTTATTTCAACAATCCAACATGGACTCAGAGTTTAAAAATGTGTTGTCCACGTGCAGTCAAAAGTTGTGATTTTACTACTAGCCATTGAGGGAGGCTTCAAGCCAAACTTGTCTTCCTTCAGATCCTACCAGTTTGTTGGATACAGAGTCAGCTAGAGTATTGCTTGCACTGGGCTGCTGAGTCTCTGTCAAGTGATGAGAGACACATTTCTACGGGGAAAGCAGCAAGTGAATAGATGGTTAATGGCGGTATTTTCTTTTCTTTTCTTTTTTCTTTTTTTTTTTTGAGTTAGATTCTCACTCTGTCACCCAGGTTGGAGTGTAGTGGCACAATTACAGCTCACTGCAGCTTCCTGGTGTCAGGCGACCCTTCCACCTCAGCTTCCTGAGTAGCTGAGACTACAGCCACACACCACTACAACCAACTAATTGTTTTTTTATTTGTTTGGGTTTTTTTTTTTTTTACTTTTTTGGAGAGACGAGGTCTTGTTATGTTGCCTAGGCATGTCTTGAACTCCTGGACTCAAGCAATCCTCATGGCTTGGGTTCCCAAAATGCTGGGATTACAGGTATGAGCCATTGCTCCCAGCTTGTTATTATATTTCTGTTCATCATTTTTCATTGTGTATCAGAGGATATAATGGAGTGGGGTAAATTCAGAGGTGTCAAAAGAATCAAAGTTACCCACTGATTTAATGAGTGTCATGCTAAAGGGGGTCGATGTTGTTCCTTACCTATTCATAATCCAAAATGCAGTTCCATTGTGATCTCATGACCCAGACTATTTGATCACTATGGGACACCACTGTTAATGTCTGCAATATTGATGATCCCATGGTTAAAGAAAGCCACCACCCAAAAGGCTACTTTGAGAGCAACTTATAACAATGAATTCAGTTAAATAATCTTCAGCTTATATTTTCCAAATGTAAAAGCCTTCATGGTAAGTTGCATTGCTTAACTGTCATTATCCAAAGTGCTAATGGGAGTGTTATCATTATGCACCTCAGGTACTTTTTTTTTTTTTTTGCTATCTCACCATCATTTTAATTTTATTCACATCTCTAGCCATCTGCACAGATGTTGACGGAGCTGTATTTTTGCTTCAATGTCTATTGCAATATTCTTATTGCATTCTGCAGGTCCTCCAGTAAACGTTACTTGCAATATTTTTATCAACAGTTTTGGATCAGTCACAGAAACCACCATGGTAAGTGCTGCAATGCCACTGGCAAGAGAAAAACGTGACTCAGTTATGCCATGAACACAAACTGTCAAATTTTCTATTGTTCAACTTGCAGGGTCTCCTGTAAATGTTACCTGCAACATATTTATCAACAGCTTTGGGTCAATAGCAGAAACTACAATGGTGAGTGGGACTGAGCATTGAAGCCATCGTGTGAAGGAATGGGATGTGGGATTGAAGAGCATTGTGGCATATTTGTGAGACATTTACTGAGTGCCAATTTCCAACTTTGCTCACCTAAAAAGCAATAACTTACACTTTTTCATTTTGGAAAGTCATTTGTCAAGAGTTCATTACTTAAAATTCAATGATCTTATACTCATCATTCCAGAGAACTTTTGGAAACATTGGATATTGGGTTCGTTTTTGGTAGAATTGTCAGCAATAAGCATCATGCATAGTTAAGGATTTTTAAATATGTGCATTCCCAGTGGTTCAGAAATATACATTTCAAAGTGTGAGAGATGTTTGTCATAACCTGTTTTTTTACATATAATGGAAGATTTAACATAGTCAAGCCTCCCTTTGATGCTACATTTAAGATGTATGCCAAGCGACTGTACTTAGACTAACACACACACACACACACACACACACACACACACACACACACACACACAATTTTGTTGGCAATAGAAAGCACTCTCAAGTCCATAGCAATTACATTATATGCATGGTTTAAAAAAACATAAATCTAAAACTAATTAGAAGTTCATTTTAAAGTATGTGCAAATATGATTTATGTATATGAAAAAGATTTCAGATACTATAAAATCAGCCAAGACTCTTTATAAATGTCATGGTCATGTTGCCTGTGACACAGGCTATTAGATCATTAGCCATACCCCCATGCAGTTCTAGGCTATAATATGGAGACTGTATTTTGAGTGAAATATTTTCTTGGTTCCCATATTATTTAAGTCCTAAGTCCCCTGGGTGGGTCTAATTTGCATGACTATGTAAAGTATACAGCCACTTATTGGACGAAACCAAAATAAAATGTAGTTGAGCCTGACTATGTATTATAGTGGCCAATGTCCTAGAAACACTCAAGAAGTGAAATAATGAGCATAATGGCATTGAGAAGTAAAAATAAGATTCCCCTGTTTATATTAATTTTCTCTTTTAGGATACTAGAGTCATGTTTCAAAAAATAATGCATTTTGTACTATCCTTGATGTTAGAAATAATTAACTTACTTTTTACCACTCTTTCTACTGGCAAAATTAGACATGATTTAACTTTACTACTCATTTTAATATTACTCTGAAATAGCATTAGCCAGAAATGAGACTTCAGGGGCTTTGACAGGATGTAGCGCATTAAAAATTTTACCTAAATCAAATAGTTTTGATAAAGTTATTAAATGACTCATAAGGAAAGCTAAACACGGAAAGAATAAACCACCTCTGGGCTTGGCATTCAGTTTTTGTCTCTCTCCTCTTGGTTTTATCCTAATAAGAGGGGCAAAGCTTCCAGTAGCCCAAATCACTGTCACCAGCTTTACACGATGGCATTCAATGACAATATTTGCACGACCTAATGCTGATTGCATTAATTAAACTCCTAAGTTGCTTTGATTAAATCTCCTCATTGCTTCTTATTCTCAATCAAAAATGTAAATGTGCACCTTTTTGATATTCATCAATGTTCAAAAAAAAAAAAGCTAAGCATTTAAGGAGATGAAAATGGAAGCTGTGGATATTCTTGTTTTCCTGTCTTTAATAGCTACTTAGGTACTTCCTGGCCTCTTATGAAGTGTCCTTTGTCATGCTTCCTCTCAGAAAATTTGGAAATCGTTGCTCAAGGGTAACATAAACAGCCTGTCTCTTCTCCTATATTAGACAGAATTGCATGGTTAGAAGAGTGATGTGTATTGTGCTTCGTTTATTTTACTTCTTAGCTTTGATGTAATGACAAACTTAATTTGGCTTCGAAAAAATACATTTTGTTTTCTTAAATAATGACTTTGGTGGGAAACTATAAAAATATTTTCTGAAACTATCATGCTTAAGTCAAAGAAAAATCCTCGTGCCACCTAGGGTAGGGATTGGCAAACTTTATCTATGAAACACCAGACAGTAAATACTTAAGACTTTGAGAGTCAGTCTTTGTCACAACTACTCAATTTTTGTCCGTTTGACATGAAAATAGTCATAAACAATAGTAGGCAAATGTGTGTAGTGTACTCCAATAAAATTTTATTTATAAAAGCAGGCTGAGGCCATAGGCTGCCAACCCCAGATCTAAGGCATCAATATTTCAATGCACATTATTCAGATGCTTATAAGAATGGGAGAATTGCTCCACCAAGAAAGGGTCTTATCTTTCAAGATAATTAAGGCCCTGTCTGAGAATCCATCTGGTGCACCCTTTCTTAATTAGCTCAGACTGCTATAACAAAGTATTACAGATTGGGTGACTTATAAAAAGCAGAAATTTATTTCTAACAGTTTTGGAGGCTGGAAGTCTGAAATCAGGGTACCAGCATAGTTGAATTCTGGTGAGGGCTCTACTTGGGTTACAGACTGCTAACTTCTGGTATCTTCACAAAGTGGAAAGAAAATTCTCTGGAAAGAAAAAAGGATTTTTTAAACCAATTTTTCTGAGTCAAATTTTGTGAAAGTATCTAAAAGGGCACTAATCTATTTCATGAGTGATCTATGATTATGACCTCTTCACCTCCCAGAAGCCCCACCTTCTAATACTATCACATTAAAGGTTAAGATTTCAACATATGAATTTTGAGGGGACACAACTATTCAGTTTATTGCACATCCAGAGTGCCATTACAGCCCAAGCATCCTTTACAAAAACTTTAAGATTCTACCATGCATATATTTACTGATACTTCAAAATTTGACTCGGAAAAATTGGTCAAAAAGTTAAACAGAGCCAAATGGAGTCAGAATCCTTACCTTGTAAGCACAATGATAAGGTCATTGAGGACATTAATACTATTATCTAGAAATGATAGTTTTGCTTTTTCTACATTTTCTGGAATAAATTTTTCCAAGAATGCCTGAGAATTTTGAGTTTCTAAACCTGTTAATTTTTTCCTGTGCTCTTACAACCTCACTCTTACCCCATGACCTGGTTTTAGTTTGGGGTGTTTGTTTCTATATAAGAGGCAATTATTATCTGTTTCAAGAACTCAATATAACTTTCTTTTTGTGCTATCCATTCTGCCCTTCTCATGGTTGATGAAATCTCAGTAATTTATTGGTGGTATTGCCTGTCCACAAAGTACAGGCCCACTTAAAGACTGAATACCAATTTTTACTCTTTTGACATACTAGTGTCAAAAATGTGTATTCACAGAACAATATAGTTGTGTTGCTCTAAGGAATTTTTTATAGATACATTATTCAAAAATATATACTTTTGTTCATTAAGAAACAAGTAAATCTGTTGGTAGGCATTGTTAGTTGACCCAGTGTATTCAATGGAACAAATTTTGTGTGATCCCAAAAGACTTAGAAGACTACTGAGAGCTATATGATGAGATAGGTTATATTCTGTTTTGGGAGTGTGAGTTTACCATTTTCTTTTCTTTCTCCATTTTCTTTAGTTGCTGATGGAAAGTACATTTACAGGATGGGGAGTATATTTGCAAGCCCCTCTTTCTTGACGTAAAGGCATAGTTTAAGAATACTAGTTATGTTAGCAAGGGTCAAGGGTATTTGCATACCATCTGTATGTAGGTTTCTCCAAGTCTGCGTCATCAGAAAATGGAGAAAAGATGATCTTTATCCAACTTCCAAGTGACTGCCTGGAAGGATGTGGGTGAACAGTACATGATTTCACTTGTGCATGCTGGAACACTATCCATCCCACAGCAGTAGACCCTGGTCCTCTCCTCATTTAACAGATGGGAGGGTGAGCTGAAAGTGCACAAAATGTGTCCACTCAGAGAATATATCCAGAATATAATTCTAACTCCTCCAAATTCTCCCCCATGCTCTGCTGATTACTGCTGCAGGGTGAAGAGTTGATTTGTGTCCAATCTGATGTCACATTCCTGAAGAACTCAGATAAGAAAATAGACAATCCTTATTAGAATGCATGTTGTGCTATAACCACTAAAACAACGCTATGTACCTCCCTTTTATTCTATAGCTGCATAAACAAGTCACACGGAGATGCTAACTTGTCAGGGATAGGAGGTAGCTACATTTCTTATTTCTGACTTAAGAAAAAAATCAAGAATCAACTACAAGTCTGGCATTTTGTAACGCAAATACTATAGAAGGTGACCTTGGTCTCTAAATTAGCAGTGCAATGGGAAGGCATGAGTTTATCATAAAGCAACTGCCCCCCATTTCTTCAAACCCAAGGCTAATTTCCCATATTAAAGGTAGCACAGACTTGAAATTATGAAAACTTTACTGCAGTGTAGCCGGGGGTAAAACCAAAGTGCCACATAGGCACTGTGTGAAATCAACTAAGCATATTCTTTTGTTTGATTCCTTTAAAACATAATTAAATTGAACAATGTGTACATACAAAAATAATAAGAGTGTAATGGTGAGGTTTAATAGGAGTATGTATGAAACGGAGTGGCAATCTCTATCTACAAATGCTGATCTAAATATTATAGTTCCAGAATAATTCAATTTAAGGAACAATCTCTGTGGAGTGGATATAACAGTTGAAGGTATCAGAAAATGTGAAACTTGAGAAATTCTAAATTTGACATGAAATAATAATATGAAATGTAGGTACCTGCATTTCCTGTGTTAAGAATATAATAAAGATTGTGATTTACACATAACTTTTTAAAAACTGTAAGATACATATTATATATATCTTGAATGTTTCCATTACCTAATCCAATACCCCGTAGTCAACCATAGGGAAACAAATTTTAGTGCAAGGAAATGTGTCATTTATTTAAAGTAGATTCTGTCCCTGGAGAGAGAAAGCAGTGTCAAAAAAAAAAATTCCATCTGCATTTAAGCATGTTTCTCAGTATTTACTTCCCCTTTAATATTTCATTAACTCTAGAAGCAAAAATAGAGACATGAAAAACTACAGACCCATATAACTATTCTCCTGTGGTTTGGAATATCATGAGAAAATAACCTATGTATAAATAAACAGAAATGATGCATAGATAAATCACACATGTCAATTTTTTACCCTACATTGAAAATGACAGTGAACAGGAAGAGTAACACAGGCACAGCTCCAGAAAATATTTTCTTTGGCTCTCTACTTCTCTATATCCTTGGGTGCCTTTCCCTATTCTTAGAGATTTTAAGGGTTGCTATTTTTTGGCATAATATATATTCACAAACAAAATTTTGAACAAATTTTAATTATTACATGTTAAAAAGAATATATACTCATAACCAAAAACTCTGACAGAGATTTCATTTTGTATAACTGCTCTAGTTGTAGCATAAAATTATTTCTTTTCTAAGTTTTATACTTACCCCTGCTTACAAATAAGAAGATTGATTTATTTTATATGAACCTTTAGACATTTAATGGTTCTACTGGAATATGATAGACTCAGTGCTCTTTTAAAGCTCTAATATTGGGAAATTTTATTTCATCATTTTCTATATATAAAATTCAAAATAGAATACCAGGAAACACTGAAGGACACTCACGGGAAAGACTTTTTAGAAAGATGCATATTTATTGTGAAAATCTCTGTTGAGATATTTTTCTTAAAGTTCATTGTTTACATATTGTATGTCACTAATGTAATATTCTCCAGAATATCTCTATATACATTTTAAAATAATTCTGAGGCTCAAGGGAGGATTGTAACCATGTTCTTTTGGTGATTTTGCTTCCCAATGCTCTCTATCTAGCTTATCATAAACTCTCCTGTTCTAGGATTACTTCCTGGTGGGGAGGGGGCCCTCAATGGCCTCCCAATGATTTAAGACATTTAACCCACTCACCTCTGTTATTTCCAGTTGCCATTACTTCTCATACTTAGAGTTTCTCTACCTCTGGACTTGACTAAGGGATGGGATCCTCTTCTTTTCTACTTCCTGTTGAAATAAACACACAGACTCCTATCAAATAATTCTGTTAAGGTTAACTGGTTCTCAATATAGGGAAGTAAAAGGGAGTGCATGTCAAACACCAAAGCTGCACTTTTCCCCCTTAAGAAACCTTAAGAAAATCTCACAATTGATGCATTTAGTACATACTTATATGTAAATTTAATTATTATATTTTCAATAGCCCCTTTTGTGATTTTCACAATCCACACATTCTTACTCCTTACACAAAACTCCAAAGCTTTCAGTAACCCCTGTTCCCAGTGAGACACTGAACTGTTAATAATCTCTTTCCAGTTATAGCCATATGGTCCCTTTGGACAAGTTTAGAAGTGTGTGATGTCCAAGATTACTTTGAGGTTCTGCCATTCTCTTGGTCCACTCACTCGGGGAGCCAGTGAGCAAACTGGGTGGGATGGAAGTCTGGCTGAGCCCACAACAGTGCCCTCAAGTCTGAGAATTTGCAGTGCAGGACCTAGTATAATGCCAAATAAAAGTCAGCTGCTAACATTTTCCTCATTAGAAAGTCCTCAAGTTATACCATGGAGAATCTCCAAGTTATTTTCTTTTAATAGCTCAACCTTTCCAAATGATCTGGGTTTTGATGACTTATTTTCTGTAGTTGGTAACTTTGATTATTAACCTTCTTTAAGCCTACGTTGGGCACTCTTCCCAAGAACTCCCACCTCCAAAATGCTCTATGAGTCTGCTCATCAGAATGAATGCTTTTGATAAAAAATCATAGGAATTTGCAGAGTTTAGTAAATAGGTATAAGGAACTGCACTGAAGCTCCTTTCCACACACCCTGATCTTTGCAACTTAGTATTTTACTTTTGGTCCTGAGGGAATTAACCCAAACTGGCCATCTCAAGATGGTCTCTATGGTATCTGATAGAGTGACCAACCATCAATGTTTTCCTGGGGTAGAGGTAATTCCCTGAATGTGAAACTTTTGGGGCCAAAACTGGAATGTTCTCAGGCAAATCAGGACAAGTTATTCACCCTTAGAATAAGGTAAACAATAATCAAAATCCAAGTACCAAATATGTGGAGATTGAGCAAATGAGGGAAAAAATGTAAAGGAAAGAGAGTAATAACTAATGAGTATACATGTATATTACCCTAAATGACCACAAGTGACAACAGTGGATAACTATTGGCTCTGAAATCATTGCCCACTTGACTAGGGAATACTGTTGAAGTCTAGTCTGAGTCCAGATTAACAAGTGAAGCAACACTTTCCATGGACATAAAGTTCTTTGAGTAAGAGTCCCCAGGAGAGAAGTCACTGTCCCAAGCTGATTCATTAGCACAGAAGGAAATTCCCAGACCAAATGAGAATGCCAGGGGTGTACCTAAGGCTCAACAAAGGAGAACACTTTGTCAAAAAGTGTTTAGATTGAGAAAACTTAAAAAAAGATCTACTTGGATGAAGCATCAAGTTGGCTAATGTAGATACAACACATTCAGAGCAAATGACAAAATATTGAAGAATTTTGAAAGTAAATATTGTCAAGGAAATTATTTCGTCAACATGAAGCATCTTAATGCTTATGTTGATGAATTTTTAAAATATTGCCCCATCATATCACAGTTTTATAAGACTTTTGCTAACAAAATTGCAGGGTTTCCTTCTGCCCAAATTATCTGAGCAGAAAGACTAGAGATTATGTCATTTCTGATTTGGAAAACGAATCCGTTTTATTTGACAATCTACTGTCATAGAATGACTCTGTATTCATCATCACCTTTTTCTATAGCAAAATCAGCTTGAGTTAATATTATCTCATTCCAGAATGAATAATTTAATCGTGAAAAAATTCAACCAAGTCAACCTGCTCCACTGGCGTTCTGGTTTGCTTGTCTTCTTCTTTCTTTCTCCCATCTGTCCCCTCTCCTGATAGAACTGAGTGATTTATTTTGACCAAGGTATACACAGTCTGGTTTACTCAGAAACAAGTCCTGTACCAAATCAGGGAAAGGTGAGAGGAAATTGTAGATGGACCTCTCTACCAGGTTGGGCAATAAGTAACACTTGTGCATGGCCTTTCTGTAGGACTACCGAGTGAACATTTTTCTGAGACAACAGTGGAATGATTCACGGTTGGCATACAGTGAGTACCCAGATGATTCCCTGGACTTGGACCCATCTATGCTAGACTCCATTTGGAAACCAGATTTGTTCTTTGCCAATGAGAAAGGCGCTAACTTCCATGATGTCACCACTGACAACAAATTGCTGCGGATTTCAAAAAATGGCAAAGTGCTCTACAGTATCAGGTAAACCTCCATTGGCTGCATCTGTTCACTTCTCCATTTCTATGCTGGTTTAGAACTGCCTAATTCTGCAGGATAGGATGTTTATGAATATTTGACTCTTGTGGTTTCTTGTTTATCATTTAAATCTTAAAGTTTGTGGAGAGTTCCGGAGGTTTACATGGTCTCACAAGGGTGATTTGCCACAACAAAAATGTTTTTGATAGGATGGTGTGTGGGTAATGGTATTGCATAAATACCTGTACAAATGTGTTCTTCACATTCAATAGAAGTACAGGCTGTTCAGTTCAATTGTCATTGAGCATAATGTATGAAATCTCATTTCGCTAATTCTACCATTCTGTAATATCTAAACACACACACTCACACACACACACACACACACACACACACACACACACACACACACAAATTCAATGGCTCAACATAATCATTGAGAAGATACTTTTGGTGGAATAAGTAGGGACCTGGTTCTAATCTCAACTCTGCTTCTAGCTAAACATGTGACCTTGATCTCTTAACATTGATTGGGATTGGCTTTGGGCTTGGGCTTCGACTTGGGACAGATAATTCTTGAAGATCATTTTTTGTTTTTATAGTCAAATATAATCTTTTCCAGAATCTTCATTGCCTCAAGTTCAAAATAATCTCTCCCTTTCCTGAACTCTAATAGCAGTTTTTTCTGTGTCCCTATAAGGCTTTTATGTCTCCTGCCATATAGTTTAGCTATTTCTGTACGTGAGTAACACATAAAAACATGGATTTCTGGAATCAGACAAATCTAGAATCAAACCCAAGCTTTGCCAGCTACTAAGTTGCATAACTTACAATCCTCAGTTACCTTAATTGTAAAATGAGAAACATCATATCCATCTCTGAATATTCTTGTGAGAATGACTAAAGTAAAGGTCAGCAAATATTTTCTATAAAGGGCCAGATAGTATTTAAATTTTATAGACCATATTTCCTCAGTAGCAATTACTCAACTCTGTCACTGTAGCTCAAACACAACCAGAGATAATATGCAAACAATTGGGCATGGCTGTGTCCCAATAAATCTTTATTTACAAAAACAGGTGGTGGACTGAATTTGGCCCATTAACTATAGTTTGCCAACCCCTGATATAAAGTATATAAAAAAATGCTTGCCACTGTACCTGACACAGTGTACATGTCCCATAAATAAAGAAATGACTACCTGTATTTTAAAATCAGTACTCTTTTAAAATTTTAAGCTCTTTGTGGCCAAAATACTTGGGTTGTGCCTTTTTTGTTACATCTACCAACAGTCTAGGAGAATACCGTATATGACAGATACTTAGTACATTGAATAACTATTGGCATTTTGAAAGTCCTTTGTAGAATCTTCCCTTTTTTTCCAATTTCATTACCAAAAAAGAAGTGAACAGCTAGTCTCCTTGCAAATAATTTTTACAAGTTTGAAGACTCACCACCACCACATCATTTGACAATTCTATATACAATTTGCTACTACTGTATTATATATTCCATTCTTATACTTAGTAATTTCACAGCTTGCTGATGGCCTAACAGCCCCAATGTCTTATGGAATGTAAGAAACTGCTTATTTGAAAAACATTGTCAAAGTCATTGCTTACAGAGAGAACCAGGAAGCTTCCCCCAATGCCCATTTCGTTTTTAAGGAAACAGAATATTCTCCACGGTGATGCGTTTACTTGGTGCAAAATGCAGTATTGGGCACGAACTAAGTTGATGGGACCTAATGAAATGGGACATATGTAGAGCATGGTGCTGGGAAGAAGAGTTATAAAAAGCAGCACAGGGTGTCAGCTGCTCCAGCTAATCCTCCGGACCTTGGATGGTGTTTGCTCTAATAAGTACCTGGCATCGTGCACTGCTGATATAAAGCGAGGCTGTTATTGCTGTTGTTATATCCTTGCTATTTTGTGAAGGTCTTTCCATTCTAGAATTGTAAAGGATATAATGTTCTCAAGACCTAGATCCAGAGACAATTTTTGTATCTCTGGTTCCCAAGCATAGCACATTACAGGCCCTGAAACGCCCTAACAATTGTTTTGGATTGGGTGGGGTTTGTCCTACGACAGGCTGGATTAGACTTTTCTTTCATTGTGGGTGTTCTCTGAAATTAGAGGAAAAAACCTGCGTAAAGGAGAACTGAGGATGTCACTTTAAGGAAACACAAGCTCTTAGCAGATTTTAAATGCAGGAATCTAATTATTTGCCAGGAAGTGTTTTCAATGTGCCAGACACTGTGCTGGGTCTAGAGATCAGAGCTGAGTAAGGTGCTCGTCCCCACCCTGGAATTGTTCCAGTCTGACAAGGCAGGTGGACACATGATAAATTGAGTAATAAGGAATTAATAGTGAACAAGGAAAAGTGGCTCTAACTTTGCAAACAAATTGTGTGACCCAAATATTGTCAGAATTTGGGGGTTGGTACTCATACTTCTGTTTGAGTCACTTGATTCAATTTAGCTAAAGGCCAAAGAGTAATTAGTGCTAATAGACATATCCAGCTGCAGGTTTGAATCAAGTTCAAGGCCAAGAGGACTACAGTTGTCAATGTCTTAAAGGTGCTGAAAAATCCTGGCTGAAGTTCCATTAGGAAGGAATTTCTCTGCATACTGAGGTTTACAGTGCTAATACTCCTAGGAAAGGAAACCCATTGGCCTAAATTCATACTAAACTGTAAAGAGCTGACATAAAATTTATTTCTGATAGTAAATTTGATAGTTTGGTGTCTGAGAAAAGTAGTGAGAATTAGCATATTGGATTCCTAAGTGGAGACATGGAATAGGATGAAGAAAGTGTGGGAAGATGCTATATAAGGAAGAGGCTGAAAGTACCAAAGACAAACTCATAAATTGCCTCCACTCCACACAGTAAATAATCAAGTAATTATTTAATTATGTAAGCCTTTGATCCACATTTTAAAAAGTAATGTTCTGTGCTGATGTTTTATATTTGCGTTTTCCTAAAACCTAAACAAATAATGATAGTATTTCATCCTGAAAAGATTCCATGCTTTTCTTAGCCTTGTAGGAGTTGAGGTAGAATTAACTCCATAAACACCAAAGCCCAAGGCTTTGATGGTCAAACAAAACACAAAGAGAAGTGTACAGTACATTGACTTCATTACAAACAATATCATGACTCCTAACATTTTATATATCTATATTCCAAAAGGTGTGAGTCTAAAAACAGAAGGAGCAGGAGACCAGAACTCTGTAGGTGTACTCCCAATTCAAACACTTGGGTTACTTGAGTAAAATTAAAACAAATGTTTTAAATATTAAAGAAAAGTCTTAGCTCAGTGTTAACAAATCTCTATCCAGTGATGCAGGACACAGTCTTTGTTAATGAAAAAGTATCCAATTTCTGTCCATTTCTCCTCAGACTTCTCCCTTAGCAATCACATCTCTAGTATGTTTTATCTTAATCTGTTTTTTCTACATTTTTTGTTGACCCATCCCATTAGTTACTGATCATCCCTGACCAAAGTATAAACGAGAACACGTATTTTGCTTTGTACCCTTTCTTCAGAGAAAGGCCAATTCTCACTTCACGTTACTTACAAAGGCTTGACTCCATAGCAAAATAATGAAGTGAGACTTGAATACTGTACATATTACTATTCAAACAACATTTGTTGAATTTATATAATAAATTGGAGTAAAGGTCAGGACATCATGGGGTGTGGTGGGCAAGATGAAAGTAAAAAGGAGGTGAGCATCTTTGGAGAAGAGCAGCTTACCTCACTTGTCCACAATGTCTGCTGATTATCTTGTAAAATATCTAATCCAGCACCCTTGTTTTACCAATGAGGAAGTGACTTATTTCAGGAGTTAAGTGAGCCAAAATAATGGAGTCAGTAAACGAGAAAGCTAGGAAAAGAATCAAAGCTCTTGACTTCTGTTTCAGTGCTGCCATCCCCTACCCTACTCCAATCCAAGTCCAAAGACAGAGACAAACACAATTCCAAAGGATATGCTGTTCTGAAACCAACCTTTGTGGGAGGGCTGTTGGAGGAAGAAGGTAAATTAAATATGAGGACATACAGAGTCTTCAGTCTTAAAGGACTGTTTAAATTCAAGGTGAAGTAATTGACTTTCAAATAAAAAGATCTATTTGATAATTTTATATAGCGTGTGTAGCTTATATATCATATCTACGTTTTGAAAACTTTTACTAACCCAGGGATCACAGGGCTGAAGAGACCCATTAAAGTCATTAAGTCAACTCCCTGCCTTTAAGCAACCTGCTGAGAACTCATTCTATTTTAAAAGACATTCAGAGAAGATTTTAAATTATCTCTTTGGATCTTGTAATAAGTCACACTAACATTGTAAAGAAATTCTTTCTTATGTAACTCAACTCACCTGTGCCGACACTTAAATCAGTCATTTTTTCCTCTGTTAACATAATAAGCAAATGGCTACCATTTTTGGAAGAATGGAGGTATCACCTCACTGTTCTTGTTGTTATAGTTGCTGTTTTCAAACATGTTTTTCCCACGAGAGTTAGTGTACATATGTTTGGTCACAAGCACTATGCTGCTGGTTTGATTCTGTTAACTTGAAGAACACTATGATGTTCATCTTGTCATTTTCTGTTTGTTATACAGTTTGGGGCCCCTAATCTGAACTTTATGGTGTTGAATGCTATCCTGGTTACTTCTGACACTATAGTAGACATTGGGCTTCAGAGTCAAATACCTTTGGGCTTGAGTCTTGGGCTCCAGCAATAGTTGTGCGATTTAGGGGAATTTGTTATCTCTCTAAACCTCTCAGCTTTGAAAAAGAGATGGTTTGGTTATGAGAATTTATAGTATACAATATATATTATGTGGATATACACTCATAGTGGTATTGCCATATGCTCTAGGGCTCTTGATATTTTCTTGAAATTTAACGATTGTATTTCCTGTTCCAGCCTTTAAGACAAAGAATAAACTGGCCAAGACAGATTCCTACAAACTCAAAACTTAAAGGACGGGACAGA